TAAAAGCCTTAAATGAAAAAGAGTTCACCACCCTCTGAGGCAATCCATTCCTCTGTTGAACAGCTGTTACTGTGAATAAATTTTACCTAACGTTTAGGCAAAATCTTCTTTCTCACAATCTGAATCCATTACTTCGGATTCTACCCTGTTACATAAAACAAGCTTGTTCCGTCTTCCATGTGACAGCCCTTCAAGTACTTAAATCTTATTGCCTCTCCATCTTCTCTTTCCCAGAGATAAGCAAGCATAGCCACATGTTTTAACTATTCCTCACAAGTTTCTGAGCACTGTTTCAATATGGCCTGGCAGCCAGCTACAAATCTACCTGTCACTCACATCATCTAGCTCAGTTTTTTTTTTTTACCATTCTTGACTACAAGAATATCATGAGAAATCTTGTGAATTACCTCACTGAAATGAAAGTTAACTATATCCACAGCATTATCCTCATCTACCAAGTTTGTGACTCTTGTTGCCAAGAGAGATGATATATAGGTCTGTTACAGGGGGGAAAGATTACTTATTGCCTAGCCATGGTACCCATTGTGGTGTTATGAATAGAATGACAGACTAGGAGTCTAGCAACGAGGGTTTGAATCCAACTTGGCTATGGAAGCTCACTGGGGGAGTAGAACTGGTCATTCTTTATTCAGATTGAGTGATTGATTTTTATATTGCCCATCTGGCTGCCAAGTTTAGAAAAGCAGTAATAAAAACAGTAACAGAAAACCAAAAATAATCAATAACAATCAAACAAAACATTAAAGCAACTAAAATACATTAAGAAATAACATAATATCAGAGTGTCGCATGATTTGAAATAAGGGATGTATAGTAGGACCCCCTTATCCATGGGATCAGTATCCACTTACTCACTTATCCATGGTCTGGAAATATTAAAAATAAAACAATCCAGAAGAATCTATTTTCACATGTATTACCATAACTGGTGAAGAGAGGGAGCCAGAGACCATGCCATGAAGCCTTGTTAATGAAGACTACATAGCTTGGTCTCTGTGGCCATTTGTATGTATGTGAAAATATTTTTTCTGGTTTCTTTCCTTTTACCTAGCTAGCTAGCTGCCTGCCTGCCTGTCATGAGAATTTGTCCTGTATCCAAGTAACCCTGTTTTACTTGATTATTCTTTGATCTTCCTTCTTTGCTTTGAAATCTATTAAGTGATTTCCAGATGGTCCAGCCAGAGTCTTGTCCTGGTGGGAGACATTCTTCAGCATTAATCCATTCAACGAAGTGTGTTGATTTTGTTCTCCATAGGTTTAGCCTAGACTGATTTAATATATAGAGCTTGAGATGTCTGCGGAATACTTTTCCTCAGATTTAGCTGCTATTTAGAGGGTTGATGACCATGAAGTGGAATATCTCACTTACCTTGAAAGCTCAGTTATAGTTGATATAAGTTGGTTCTTTAACTAACTAAAGACCAGCAAGTTTTGTTTGCTATAAACTTTTGGATAATAGCTATAATTGCTATGAACGTCATCATCAAATCTGGGACATGGTGGTGCTGTGGGTTAAACCGCTGAAGCCTCTGTGCTACAAGGTCAGAAGACCTGCAGTCGTAAGATCGAATCCACGCAACGGAGTGCGCCCCCATCACTTGTCCCAGCTCCTGCCAACCTAGCGGTTCAAAAGCATGCAAAATGCAAGTAGATAAATAAGTACCACTGCGGTGGGAAGGTAAACAGCATTCCGTGTCTAGTCGTGCTGGCCATGTGACCACGGAGGATTGTCTGCGGACAAATGCTAGCTCTATGAGTTGAAAACGCAGATGAGCAGCGCCGCCTAGAGTCAGACACGACTGGACAAATTGTCAAGGGGAACCTTTACCTTTACCTCATGATCAAATATCGTCTGATACAGTAAACTGCAGTCTACAGATGATTATACCAAATTAAATATGTTTGTCTTAAGGTAGCATAAGACTTCATTGGTTCACTTTCAAACTGATTTAACCTGGGGAAGTTCAAAGTGCTTTTTCAGTTTCTAACTATGTACATTGCCGGTGGAGGGCTGATAGGAAAGCAGTGAAAAATGACCCTTTGCTGTACATATACTTACAGTTTTTGGAGAATGAAAGGTGTTTAAATAAATTATTGTGAAAAGAAAATGCCTACTTTTTAAGAAACTGCACTATTCTAAAATGTATTCACTGAATGTATAACTCGTTCTCTTCAAAGGTTTGTTAAAGTTCTGCACTGTGGGATTTTGTGGCATTGGCAGTTTGATTGACTTCATTCTGATTTCAATGCAGGTAGGTAAATCCACAAGATTAAAATAAAAGGAATTGGCCAGGATCCAAAAAGCTATTAAGGCTTTTACAAAAGACTTCTTAGCTTGGTAACTTTGTTGACATCTTTCATTTGAACAGCTTCACTTATCCTATAACCTATATTGCTTTTTAAAATTTCCTGATTCTAAAGCAGTTTGCATAAAAACTATGGGTCTGCTTTTAAAAAAAGTAAAGATTTGGTAAACAGATTCTAGCCACTGTTTATTATTATCAACTTTTATTGATTTTTTAACCATAGTGCTTAGTATTTCTGTTATTTTTTAACAAGATATACTGTTTCACCATGAAAAGGTGAAAGAGATTATGGGGAAATTGCAACTGAAATTGAAGAATCCAATTAGAAGGAAAGGGAGTGTATATTCCCTGTGATCAGCCCATTTGTTCTCCTCAATATGACTTCCTCAATGACACATGCTTTGAAATCAAACTTGCAAATTAAGTGTGCCTATACCTTTCAATGACCAATCACAAAACAAAGTATGCTAAAATGTACTCTACAGGGGATGAGGAAAAGCACAGGCTATCACAAACAGTGTTTTTATTACTGTAGCAAAGCACCATTTCTAAATACAATATGTGCTAAGCATATTGTCTGTTTTAAGAAGACTGAAAGACCAGGAAAGTATGCAGTGTTTCTCCATTCCCCTTCTCTCCCTCCCTCCCTCTCTTAAAAAAAAAAAAAACTATTCACCTAAAATGGTTTATTCTACATTCACACCTCTCCAAACCATAATGTCAACTGTGCAGATATGCAACAACAATGCTTGGTTTTCAGTGTCCTGTAATAATTTCCAAAGTAGCACCTAGAACATAAGCTTCCAAGCCAAACAGCAAAGTCAATATGTAGTGTGTAGTTAAAACTATTGACATTCTGCTCGTGACACCTGAAGGTATGTTCCATGTTGATAATTAATAAAAGTTACTTGCCAGCACATATTCCTGGCTGAAAGTACACATGAGGTTTCAAGCAGTTGATCTTGTAACAGATGCCAAATCTGTCTGGATTCTGTTAAAGACAGTTTAAGATTAAAACTGTAGTAAGGCAGAAATACATAACTCTGGATTTGGATTCATGGGGCTTTCTGAATGAATAATTCAATTTGAGACTGCACAGGAAAAAGTAATTTAAGTCTGTACTTTCAAGGTGCTCTCAGCATGTCTGCATAACTATTTTAGCACTTAAGAAAAGTGTGATAATAATAATAATAATAATAATAATAATAATAATAATAATAATAATAATAATAATAATAATAATAATAATAATAATAATAATACAGTAATAGTAATAGTAATAGTAATAGTAATAGTAATAGTAATAGTAATAGTAATAATAATACAGTATCCTATGATACTGGTCAATATATAGAATGTAACAAAAATCCAAGTGCATTTTGTGGTAAAAACAACATGAATAAAGCAGAGAAAGGCAGGGAATAAGTTTAAAAGACTTTAAATCTAGAAGATAATTTCACAACATGGGGGGAATTATTAATATATTTTTGGGTTTAAATCACAGATTATACTAATGTTATAATAAATATCTAAAAAGTTGCATTATTTATAAGTTTTTTAATTAAAATAACTTACCGTATTTTTCCGTTTATAAGACAACCCGGTGTATAAGGCGACCCCCTCTTTTCTAACCCCAAATTAGAAAATTTGATCCCTGCTTTCCTCACCACTTCCTAAACCCGGAGCTTAGAAAAAGGAAAGGAAAAGCAGGTATCAAAGGGCTCCCCAATCCCTTTAGCTGCTACTTTCCCTTCCTTTTGCTAAGCCACGGGGCTTAGACAAAAGGAAGGGAAAAGGAGCAGTCATAGGGCTGCACAATCACTGAGCCTGCAACCAGTGGCGGAGACAGCAGCAGAAGGAGCGGGAGAAGGGGGCAAAGAAGCATCCACGCTCACGCACCTCTCGTGGCTGCCCATTGACTGCTGCTGGCACCGCCCACTTGCAAGGAGACGATCACTGGAGGAGGTGATTGGGTGGTGGTGGCAGCAGTTAATGAGCAGCCATGAGAGGCGGGCGAGCATGGATGCTTCTTTGTGTCTGTCTCTGTCTCCTGCTGCTGCCTTCCATGTATAAAACGACCCTCAATTTTTCCTTGAATTATTTTAGGAAAAAGTGTTGTTTTATACATGGAAAAATTCAGTACATTCAAGAAGGGCATTGAAGATAAGAAGAATGTTCATAAAAGGGAGAAGTTCCATTTTTCTTGGCATTTTTTACTTATTTTATGATAACGTTCAATTTATTTGGTGATTAACAGTGAAACCTACCGGGCCTTCTCGGCGGTAGCTCCTCAGCTCTGGAATAATCTTCCTCGAGATCCATGAAAACTTGGATGTTTAGGCAGGCCTTCCCCTCAGCTATTATTTGATTTATTTTCTTTTCCTGTTTCTTTCCATCTTGAATAACTCTATTTGTCGTTGTTTAGTTGTGTCCGACTCTTCGTGACCCCGTGGACCAGAAAATGCCAGGCCCACTGCCTCCCGGAGTTGGGTCAAATTCATGTTGGTAGCTTCAATGACACTGTCCAACCATCTCGTCCTCTGTCAACCCCTTCTCCTCCTTCCCTCACACTTTCCCAACATCAGGGTCTTTTCCAAGGAGTCTTCTCATGAGATGGCCAAAGTATTGGAGCCTCAGCTTCAGGATCTGTCCATCCAGTGAGCACTCAGGGTTGATTTCCTTTAGAATGGCTAGGTTTGTTCTCCTTGCAGCCCAGGGGACTCTCAAGAACCTCCTCCAGCACCACAGTTCAAAAGCATCAATTCTTTGGTGGTCAGCTTTCTTTATTGTCCAGCTCTCACTTCCGTACATCACTACAGGAAAAAACCATAGCTTTGACTATTCGGACTTTCATTGGCAAGGTGATGCCTCTGCTTTTTAAGATGCTGTCGAGGTTTGTCATAGCTTTCCTCCCAAGAAGGAAATGCTGCTCTCCCCATCTGCAGTGATCAGGGAGCCCAAAAAAGTAAAATGTGACACTGCCTCCATCCATATCTTCCCCTTCTATTTGCCAAGAGGTGATGGGACCAGTGGCCAAGATCTTAGTTTTTTTGATGCTGAGCTTCAAACCGTTTTTTGCACTCACCTCTTTCACCCTCATTAAGAGGTTCTTTAATTCCTCCTCACTTTCTGCCATCAGTGTGGTATCATCTGCATGTCTGAGGTTGTTGATATTTCTTCCAGCAATCTTAATTCTGGCTTGGGATTCATCCAGTCCTGCCTTTTGCATGATGTATTCTGCTGATAAGTTAAATAAGCTGGGGGACAATATACAGTCTTGTCGTACTCCTTTCCCAATTTTGAACCAATCAGTTGTTCCATATCCAGTTCTAACTGTTGTTTCCTGTCCCATGTATAGGTTTCGCAGGGGATAGATAAGGTGACCAGGCACTCCCATTTCTTTAAGAACTTGCCATAGTTTGCAGTGGTCCACACAAAGGCTTTTGCATAGTCAATGAAGGAGAAGTAGATGTTTTTCTGGAACTCTCTGCCTTTCTCCATAATCCTTCACATGTTAGCAATTTGGTCTCTAGTTCCTCTGCCCCTTCCAAATCCAGCTTGTACTTCTGGGAGTTCTCGGTCCACATACTGCTGAAGCCTGCCTTGGAGGATTTTGAGCATAACTTTCCTAGCGTGTGAAATGAGTACAATTGTATAGTAGCTGAAGCATTGTTTGGCACTTCCCTTCTTTGGGATTGGGATGTAGACTGACCTTTTCCAGTCTTCTGGCCACTGTTGAGTTTTACAGACATTCTGGCATATTGAATGTAGCACCTTAACAGCGTCATCTTTTAAGATTTTAAATAGTTCAACTGGAATGCCATCACCTCCACTGGACTTGTTATTAGACAAGCTTTCTAAGGCCCACTTGACCTCACTCTCCAGGATGTCTGGCTCAAGGTCAGCAACCACACTATCTGGGTTGACCAGGATATCCAAATCCTTCTTGCATAATTCCTCTGTGTATTCTTGCCACCTCTCCTTGGTGTCTTCTGCTTCTGTTAGGTCCCTCTCATTTTTGTCCTTTATCATGTTCATCTTTACACAAAATGTTCCTTTAATATCTTTGATTTTCCTGAACAAATCTCTGGTTTTTCCTTTTCTGTTATTTTCCTCTTTTTCTTTGCACTATTCATTTAAGAAGGCCCTCTTGTCTCTCCTTGCTATTCTTTTGAAGTCTGCATTCAGTTTTCTGCAACTTTCCCTATCTCCCTTGCATTTTGCTTCCCTTCTTTTCTCTGCTATTTGTAAGGCCTCTTTGGAAGGCCACTTTGCTTTCTTGCATTTCCATTTCTTTCGGATGGTTTTTGTTGCTGTCTCCTGTACAATGTTATGCCCAGAGTAGTCAGTTGACTAGATGGGCAGGATATAAATGCAATTAATCAATCAAACAATCAGTCAACCAACCAATCAATCGATCAATCAATAAAGTAGCATGTATTTGATCGTGTTAGAACAGGTTTATGCAGCAGATTGTATCCAGTGGCAGAAAGTCCATATTACTTCTAGAAACTCTTGTTTTCATCCTTGCACATTTCTTGATTCTACTTGTCCAAGACATTAGTTAAGCTGTTGCACAGCTCATTAACAAGCCTAATGGGTGTTTTTATTAGCTGTTAATTCTCTTGCCAGAGGTTGGGTAAATAGTAGAGTACTAAGTCTTGTACTTTTACCAGTAGCACAAACATTGTTCTTGGAATTATATTTATTCTGATTTTCTGTAAGAAATAGATTGTAACCGGGAAATACACGTCTATTGTCTTGTGTACAGTTGATGTGATTTCCACCCTTTTACAACAAACTTAAAATGTGCTTCCAGAGCGGTGGTAATCACATATACTTGTGAACTTTTCATTTACATACACTACTGCATATCTGCTTGTAGAAAATCTGTTACCTCACCAAATGAGCCAACAAATGAGCCACCAAATGAGCTAAGTATCGTACACTAACCTGTTTATGAGTCATACAGTAAATGAAAGTGTTTCTTAATATTTGTGCTCTTAAAAATAAATGTAAAAGCAATTCATGTTGTAAAACTTTATCTTCTAGATCGTGGGCCCTTCAGACGGCTCTAGTTACATCATAGATTATTATGGAGCAAGGCTTACCAGACTGAGTATTACTAATGAGACATTCAGAAAACCTCAGATATACCCTTAAGCATGCCGGTAAGATCTAGGTATATGAAGTATATGCAGTTAACATGAACTAACTTGAATCAGTAAGTTCTTATTGTTTGTATTCAATGGAACAAATGCATTTGTTTTCAATATCAACTTTTTGCATATTACAGTGGTTCCCAACCTTGGTTAACCCAGGTATTCTTGGACTGCAGTTCCCAGAAGCCTCCACCACCAGGTGTGCTAGCTAGGGCTTCTGGGAGTTGCAGTCCAGGAACATCTGGGTTACCCAAGATTAGTAACCACTGACTTAATAGATTGCTTTTTAGAGAATTAAATTTGAAAGGCAATATAAAATTAAAGAGTAGGAGAAAGCACGTTGACAATAAATGCACTTACTAAGTCACTTTCTGTGTGTATCCAAGCCTTCAGTGCAATTGGTATCTTCATCCAGGAGCAAATGCTGCATCTAGATGACAGCCAAGGGACAATAAAGATATTATTTATCTCAATTCAGTTACAAAATAGTTGAACCCATTAAAGATATGCCATAGCTTTTTGTTTTATCAGGCTGTGATGTATCTTACTTCCCTTTGTCCAATTTAGACAAACTTGGTGTCTTTTTAACAATATTTAATATACATATACATTGCAATATAAGAGTAGATTTCAGAATATTTTATAGAATATAGTATTTGCTTTGTGTTTTTATAGAGGCTGCTTCTTGGCATGGCGTAAAAGTAAATCAGAATAACATACAGTCCAGGGGCAATACTAGATTGCAGTGGGTCATGGATTGCATGAAAGGGAGATATAAATCAAATGAGTACTAATAGTAAGTTGTATACCCATTCGACACTTTTGGTTGTTGAACAAGTTGAAAAATACCATAATTCAGTCAATAAAACAAAGAGCTTACTTCAGTGTTCCAGATATTGTGCACAAATACATTCACTAGGGCTGACTATTTCAAGAAGGATTCTGACAAACTGCAACACATCTGGAGCAGGGCAGCCAAGATAGTAATGTGCCTAGAAAGCAAGCACTATGATAAATGATTGACAGAGTTGTGTATATTTATTCCAAAAAGGAGGATAAATCAGCTAGAAAGCAAAAAAAAGTATTCAAATATTTGAAAACTTTCCATATTGAAAATGGAACACCTTTGTTTTCTAATGGCTACAAAAGTAGGATCAAATTGTGGATTCAAAGTACAAGACAGATTTTGCTTAATTATGTAGACAAACCTTTAGACAGTAGGACCTGTTTCATACCTTAGAAGGTATTGGAGTCTCCTTCATTGGGCACTTTAAACTGAATTGTCTACTCTTACAAATACATAATGATATTCTGCATGGCAAAAAGAGAGAGAGAGAAAAAAAAAGAGTAAAGGGCTACTGAACAGCCAGAAAGATGCTTGTTAATTATCTTTTCCATTCTGAGCCAAGCCAACATTTGTAGTCTCTGCTAGGAAAGAATATAAGCTGTATTTGCCCCCCTTTTGTTTCCTGTAGTTGGAGCCATACCTCATATGTGAAGCCAAACTTTAGCCCAATTGAAGCTATTGTAATGTAAAATTCACACATATAAGCTTATAGTGGTATCACCTGTCTAGTGCTAAGACTAAGCAATCTTACGCTTAAACTGGATTCTCCCTCAGCCTCAGGATTAAATTGTAGGAAGCAAATGTAATACCTTTTATTCCAGTCATTCCTTCTGTGTGGTCCTGATTTTTATTATAAAAATGCTAAAATCATGCAGAGTTTATCCTTGGATCTTTATAATCTCTGTGGGTCCTTCTAGAGTTTCTTCCCATTAATCTTTTTCAGTTATAGGTTTTTATTTAATGCTTCATTGCAGATAATAGATTGCAAATAGGAACCTTCCTGATCCATCAATGGTTGTATATAATTTTTATATTTTTAGTAGTTTCAACTATCAAATTCCATTTGTATACTTCAAGATTTGAATTTTTACATTATGAGAATTGGACCCTTTTATTTATCGCTTATATACTTCTTGCAAAACAGGTGTATAAATATGAGACATCATTATTTAATTATACATAGAAATTTTATATTATCCCAATAACATGTAAAATATTTTATTATTGCACAGGCCTGAAGGACTTTTTCTATATTGAGAAACAGGAAACAAAATATTTTTACAAAACAAAAAGTGAGATATAGTGATTGGTTGGATTAGTTGTTCCATATGGTTTCTCCATACTGCTAACTGCAGCATGAACTAAATATTTTGGAATGGGCATATTAAATAGTACAGTATTAACCTTTCCATGTGACAAATCTGTAATTCCAAGCAGTCTTTGCTGACTGGTCACACTGAAAGGCTATATATTAAGTGTTATTGTTTTTCAATGTACCAAAGTGGGACCAACATATCTCTGTGCTGTTTCAGAGGCATAGATCCTCCCTTAGTCTGATGACAAGCCTTACGATACTACAGGATTTCAGGGATATATTTTGCTGTTATTGATATTCACCTCTAGGCATAGAAGGACAGTATAGTAGTTCTGTGCACATAGTTACACTTCAGATTACAGACAGGACAGAGAAGATGAATTTGGGTACAACTAATCCAGCTACCAAAACATGAGACAGCAGTAGCAGCAAGTGGACTGCAAAATATTTTTAATGAAAGTGACATCCCTGTGAATGTAAATAAAATGCATTGTGTTTGAACCGGATAGGTAACACCCCATTAGGAAGAGAACTGTTATGCATGCATTATCATTCCGGTAGCTTTTTGAATTCATGATCCTGTGAGAAGGAGCAGAAAAAGGGCGTAGAATATAAAGCCAAGGGCAAGGTATCCTTCCTTATTGCTGTGAGTCTGGAACGCTTGCTCTTCAGGCTTTGAGGGAGACCCAGGTCCCTTCCATTTCAATGATTCTATGATATGCTATACAAACTGTTTTTTCATACTGTACTTCAGACTAAGTGGAGGCTATAAATGTGCTTTCTTGTTGATAAGGCAGGAACTAACCAATTAGTATTTTGATTTCTTCCAGATTTCAGCTCCATCCGAGTGTGAGGAAGATACATGAAAGGGGACTGCCTTCAAAGGATAGTATTTGAAGGAAGCATCTTTCTCTTTGGGTTTCACTGAATAAGCTAAAGACAAAAGACCACTTCATCATATATATGACTGTTTACACAAGAGGAGTTTGGACTTTGGTGCTATGTTTTCCAACATAGCCCTACTGAGAAGAGGACAATGACTTGTCTTTTAAATTATTTTGCTAAATACTAATAGACAGAGGATATAATTAATGTTAAATACATCATGAAGTACTTACAATGGGTTTCATACAAATTGTACAAAAACTGAAAATGTGTGTGTGTATATATAAACAAAATAAGACAGGAAGAAATGACTGCACATTCAGTGTCCATTTTCTTACTGCTTTTTAAAAGCAAGAAGAGAATTCAAACCAAAAGAATGTTGTTTTACAGATGTATGAAGTTCCAGCTCATTCACTCTCCCTCCCGTGCATCAAGTACATCCTGTACTTTTGGCAACACGTTGACTGGATATTTAAAAGCTGCGAACTGCTCTGAAAGTTTCACATAGTGGCTTATGGGCCATGTGTGTTTGATCAAAATTCAATTACTGCACTGTGCCAGGCTTGGAAACCTATCATTGCAAGTTATGAAGTATGACGAAATAAGCTGCTCTAATTGGTTCAGTATGGGGAGCAGTCTCAACCAAGCTTGTTATGATAAATAGCTTCCTGTGTTAAAGGTTCTCTGGAGCTTAAGTGTCTTGGCTCACCTCCTTCAACAGAATAAGAATATTGTTCCCTAGGAACACTTACATCACTGTCCTTCTTCCCAATTCAGAATTAAATGTTTGTAGCATTTTCATTTTGCTGTTCTTGAATATAAACAATGAGTACTGCTGACATTTCCGTTGTGGTCTGTTCTGTCACTTCTCCTTCCAGATATAAAATGTCCTGCATGCCATGTATCTAGAGTTATAAAGAACATTTTATTTTTTTATACCCCACCTTTCTCTTTAGGAGGACCCAAGGCAGCTTAACAATATCAAAACAAAATATATTAAGGGGGGGAAAAGGCACCTTGTTGTTGTTTTTTAGGAACCCCCTCTTAGGCAGCCTTTTATTGAGAAATAGCCTACCTGAAGAGGTTTTTGCCTGCTTTTGAAAGGACAGCAAAGAGGCGGCCAACCTGGTCTCCCAAGGCTGTGTGTTCCACAGATTGGATTCAGTGACAGAAAAGTCCTTTTCTCATCCCCTTGCCAAATCTACCTTTGAGAGTCTGAGAGAAAGACTTCTCCGATTATTTTAAAGCCCAGGCAGGCTCATAAAGAGAGATGCTGAATTTCAGATAGTGTGGACCCTGATCATTTTCAGTGGAACTACTAATTGGTTGTTGTGGGTTTTTCGGTCTCTTGGGACGTGTTCTGAAGGTTGTTCTTCCTAACATTTTGCCAGTCTATGTGGCCGGCATCTTCAGAGGACAGCACTCTGTGCTCTGGTGTAGTTGGCTTGGGAGTGGAGTGTTTATGGCTGTGAGATAGGCTTTTGTCCTTTTCAGGAGACAAAATATAGAGTGGGATCTGTTGGTAAGATTTCCAGCTGATTTTGCACTAGAACAACAGGGTTTTGATTCCTAGTGGTTTAAAATAATGACAAAGAATGTTTTTCTCCCAAATTATCTTTGGGGAAATTGGTAGAGTCCATAGAAGGATTTATGTGCATGGTATAGTTCAAGTACTGAGAACAAATTCATAGGCTGAGCACATGCTCAGAAAAGTCACCTTTTTCACACATGATCTGAAACATTTTGTATCCCTCTCCAGTCAGGTTTTCAATGAAAAACTTTGTAGATTTTGCAAGCTTCATGTCTGCTCATGCCCTGGCAATACAAAGTACTGATACTTAAGAATGGCTATGTTCCAACTGGTTTTGGGGAAAAGATGTAAAATATTTCATGTGTGTGCTATTTTTGCTAAACATAGGCATCTAGGGAAAATTTGAGCCATACTATTGTCTTTTTCTTCAGTTGTTTGGCTTGCTGGACTGGCATTAGTGATATTAATAGGTAGAAATGTTTGTTCATATCAACACAGTCATCGTTTGTTTTCTGAACTATGGTTTCAGACTGCCATTAGTTTGAGGGCAGATATAGCAACTGCCAGATACATAGCTACACTCACAGTTGTAGACTAAATAGACAATACTGTATGGGAAAGAACGAGAAGAAGCATTTTGTGTAAAAGATTTGTATATCTGTCAGGAAATCCATGACTTGGAACATGGAAAGCTAGTGGAGAGTATTTGGGCAAAAATTAAAGGACTAATCCGTTCCAGTGGCAATCTGGCCCAGTCACCTGGTACCCTCTTAGTTCAAATATCCATGCACTCAAAGACAAAAGTAGTAGGGTAACGCTTTACAGTGGTGCCCCGCAAGACAATGTTAATCCGTTCCATTGAAATCGCTGTCTTGTGAAAACAATGTCTTGCAAAAAGTGTTTCCCCATTGGAATGCATTGGAATCTGTTTAATGTGTTCCAATGAGGAAAAATCGTTGTCATTTTGCAAAAATCACCCATAGGGAAGCCATTTTGCGAAGCGCCGATCAGCTGTTAAAATCGCTGTCTTGCGAAACATCGATCCCAAAAACATCCGTTTTGTGAGTCACGGACCTAGCTGTGAAAATCGTCATCTTGCGAAGCATCAGTTCCGAAAATAAAAGTCCTGTGAAAAAAACATTGTCCAGTGAAAATCGCCCATAGGAAACACTGTTTTGCGAAGGGCTATAGTGATCGCAAAAACTCATCATGCGGATTCATCATTTTGCAAGGTCATCATCTAGCAGGGCACCACTGTAGTGTGATATTTGTTGGAAATCCAACTCTGAAAAGAATGTGGAGTCCAACCATTTTGTTCCCTTGCTGATAGCATCATCCATAAGGTAGAAAAAAGAACTGTCTGTGTTAATCCTACCAATGGAGAAGAAGTGGTCTAGGAGAACAAGTAAGAGTCCTGAAAAGGCCGGCAAACATTGTCCCTATTTTCAGAAAGGGGATAGAACAGTCACACAACAGTTGAGTTAACAGCTTGACACTAATACCAGAAAACGTTCTAGAACAGGTTGTTAAAACAGTCTTTGAGCTCTTAGAAATTATTTCTGTATACCACCATGGGTTTATTAAAAAGTTGTGCCAGATTGTGTCTTTTCACAAGAGGGGTGAGAAAGAGAGAGGAACAAGCTTGGTAGATCAGGGGAATGCTGTATGTATAAAGTATCCTGATCTCAGAAAATCTTTCAACAAGATTCGTATGCTCTTGCGGCTGAGCATATTGGACTGGGTGCTGCTGCTGTTAGGTGACTTTGTACCTGGTTAAGTAAGAGGCCACATGCAAAGAGTGCTCAACAATTGTTTCATTTCGTCCCGGAGAAAAGTGACAAAGAGGGTGCCGCAAGGTCTTGGGGCCAGTAGTTTTCAACATTTTCTGTCTGATTTGGATGGAGTAAAGTGGACATTCATCAGATTTGTAAATTACACTAAACTGGGAAGGATAGCTTATACTTTAAAAGACAACATTGATTCAACATTATTTTAACAGGTTAGAGAACTGGGCTAGAACAAATAAAATAGATTTCAATAATGAAAAATTTGAAGTTCTATACTTAGGCAGAAAAAAAAATCAAACTCACAAATATAAGGTGGGTGACTTGGCTTGGTACTATTATGCCTGAAAATGGTCTATGGGGTCTTAACAGAGCACAAGATAAACAGGAGTTAGTAGTGTGATGGAATTTATACTGCATCAACAGACATACAGTGAAGTAATAATACTGCTCTGTTTTGCATGGGTCAGGTTTCACAGAAATATTGTTTAAAGTTCTGGATATCACAGTTTAAGAAGGATATCAGTAAGATGGAATGTGTCCAGAGGACTGTATAACAGGTAGTACATTTGTAAATTAAGCCCTGTGTGAAACCTTTGGGAGAACTAGATGCTCTTAAGCATGCAGATGAAAAGACTGAGAGGTGATATAATAGCTACCTTCAAATATTCAAAAGGTTATCACAAGGAAGATGGTACAAGCTTATTTTCTCCAGCTACAGACCTGAAATCATGGATTCAAATTACAAGACAGGAGAATGCAGCTACGTGTTAGGAAAAAATGTCTTGACAGTAAAAACTGTAGTAAGCAGAAGGGCTGGACTTTCTTCCACTGGAGGTTTTTAAAAGAGGTTGTATGGGCATCTGTCAGGGACAGTTTAGCTGCAGATAACCTGTTTGAGTGGGGGATTGGACTTGATGACCCTCGGGGTCCCTTCCAGCTGCACAATTCTACTATTCTATATTTAAATGTCCTGTTTGACCTTCTGCTAAAAGATGTGTGCAATGCTGAAGTCGGCAGTTCCAGCCCGTACGAGATCTACTGCAAAATATCTCCATTTTAAAAAGCAATCTCCTTAGTCATCACTTAATCAAGCGATGACTAAGTGCAGCAATACGAAAATTAAAGGGAGGAAAATTTGGTACCAAAAAGTATATATCCACATCTGAGTAAGATGAGAAATAAATCCTGCTGTTGCTTTTACAACTAGAGTGTGATCAAATACCTTGGGATGAGAACAGGGTGTGTGTAATGTACAATATGCTTAGACTTAATACTGCAGGGTTTTTTTAAAATAATAGCAGGTAGATGATAGTAATCATATTATAGCTTTTAATAAAGTTCCCACAAGAAGGAACTTTACCTTTAAAAATAGAATGTGACTGCAGGCACTTATGCTAATCTTCCTTTTGGCAAATCAGCTTTTTTTTGTATTGAATCTCGCTTGATTGAATAGCACTAGAGCTGCCAGAGTAAATGCTATTATCAGCGTACAGTAATTAAGGAAATAGTCCTTGTCACTCGAACAGTATCCAGGCTGTGCCCTCTGTAATAAAGTTAAATGATAAAGAAATCTCTTTAAATAAAATGCAGCTACTGGAGTGTGGTTACTTCTGAAATGCAGTGGAACAATGAATTGGAGAATTATCGGTGATAGGAAAATAATGCCCACTGAACACAATGTGAATGTAGACTTCTAAAACATATAATTAGATAACGTTAAACAATTAATCTTCTGATTTAAAGTTGGAGAAGCATGTTTTAATCCCCCATCTCTAAAAATTGACTAGTTCAGAGTTCTTTTGTCTTCCCTGCACTTATGGCTCTTCAAGATATACTAGATGTTCTCGACATTTTGAGGTCTGTTATTTGTTTGTTTGTTTGTTTGTTTTATTAAATTTGTATCCCGCCCATTTAGACAGCGTCTATTCTGGGCAGCTCGCAATAAAATGGAATAAAAACAATCAAATAATATCAATTTAACAACAGTAAGAAAATCGTTCAAGATGGAAAAAAGGGATAAATCAAATGGTGACCGGAGGGAAGGCCTGCCTGAATAGCCAGGTCTTGAGTTTGCACTTGAAAATACCCAGCGAAGGGGCCAAGCGAATCTTGGAGGGGAGATTATTCCAGAGGCGGGGGGCCACTGCCGAGAAGGCCCGGTTTCTTGTTTTTTGTTTCCAGGCCTCCCTCGGCACCTTTAAGCTCTGTAACCTGGGTTTTATCAAACTGACTGGTGCAGTGGCATCTAAATTCAACATATTCTAGACTATTCATTCTGTTTAAATTTTAAGGATATTCTTATGATTACTGAAACCTGATTTCAGCCATGATTAAAACACTGTCATTCTTGTGCATTAGATTTTGGACATCCATGTCTTGTTAGTATCCACCATGATGCTTCAATTTGTTGTTAAAATATTGCATATGAAAATGTGAACTTGTAGGTGGACTATGACTGGTAGGGGAGTTAACATATTTGGGACTGCAGTCTCAGATCAATGAAATGAAAACAGGGATGTACAG